AAACCTGCTTTTGTTGGTGTTTTTGGGCCCTAACTATATCGACAACCGAACTGAAAAATAGTGACGCGATTCTGGTACGTGCAATGGATGAGGCATTGAATATCCAGCCTCGCGATATGTACTGGTCTGTTCTTGGTATGATGAATAACCCTTGGTTCCGTGTTACTATCACCAAAACGGATGGCTACTTGAGGTTTGAGCACCCGACTCAACCCGCTCTGATTCCTGGTGGCTGGATGGAGCGCGTCAAGAAAAATGGCGGGGATTTGGCGAATAGAAATTGGGGAGCTGTATTAGAAGGCAGTGAAAACATAGCAGCGATGGAAGCCCCTAAAATCAACCTGAAGAAGCCTGACCTGGACATTACTATAAGTTTAGAGAGGTTTAAAAGTCATAAAACTGGGCCTGAGCCATGGTTTGCACTTGAGGGCGAGGTTTATGATGGTACCACCTTCTTGAACGAACATCCAGGAGGGGCACAGAGCATTCTGTCTGCCGCTGGTCTTGATGTGACAGGGGAGTTCATGGCTATTCGTGAGGTTCCTACGTTGACCAAATAACTGCTTCCTTCGCTGACTAATTTCAAATAGATAGCGAAACCGCGAAGGGGATGATGAGGGATTATCACATCGGAAGCCTCGACATATCATCTCAAGAGGCCCTACAGAATGATATCGACGTCGAGTCGTTGTCACCCTCTCGTGAAGTATTTCTGGATTCGAAACTCTGGGCACCGTCATCCCTAAGCAGCAAAACAGTGATATCACCAGACTCCCGCCTCTTTACCTTTAAGCTCACTCACGATTCCCAATGCCTCGGTCTTCCCGTCGGAAAGCATGTCATGCTCAAAATTAGCGACCCATCCACCGACGAGACCATAATCAGAGCCTACACCCCCGTCTCCAAACAAACTGCTGTAGGCACCATAGACATCCTAATAAAATTGTATGCTCCCACTCCTGATTACCCAAACGGTGGTAAAATGACCATGGCAATGGACAAACTCCCACTAGGAGCCATGGTAAAGTTCAAAGGGCCCGTCGGGAAATTTGAGTACCTAGGGAAAGGTGCGGTGCTCCTAAACGGGGAAAAGCGTTATGTACAATCGTTCCATATGATTTGCGCTGGAAGCGGTATCACCCCTATCTTCCAAGTACTCCGCACTGTGATGGAGGACACAGAGGACCACACCTCATGTGTGGTCGTGGATGGCAATCGGACTGAAGCTGATATACTCTGCCACGCTGAGCTGGATGAATTTGTGGCACAGGATTCGAATGGCAGGTGTCGCATAGTGCATACTCTGACCCAGCCGTCGGCAACCTGGACAGGGCGCAAAGGTCGGATTTCGGAAGATTTGCTCTTGGAGTATGTTCCCGTTGGTAGGAAGAGGGGTGTTAAAAGCCTAGTGCTTGTTTGCGGGCCTGAAGCGTTGGAAGTTGCCGTCAAAAACGTACTGTTACGTATGGGCTGGGATAAGGATGATTTGGTCTTTTTCTGAGGCGACATATGGGAGTGACTTTCATAGATTTCATGCGGGGTGAAGGGGAATATATGGCTGTATCGATTTACCGTTTATATATTCAGCTTCCATTTTCGGGCACTTCAAGCACAAAATGCAGCTTCGCTGCTATGGGGGGAGGGTGACTTTGCAACACACGTGCTCTCTTCATAAATCGAATCTCAATCACATGTTCTTCGCTAAAATTTCAATTGAAGACAAAAAGAGCGTCCTGCACTCAATAATAAAAGCTCAAACGCACAAATAGGCTAGCGAAAACGGGGAATAGATATCCAAAGCCACAACATTGAAGAGAGGCACCTAATATGGACAGCATGTGCAATTCTATACACTTTCCAATCAGGAAAATGGCAAATATTTCTCTATCCTTTAGTCCCACCACTCCTCACCTTTCTAAAGCATGCAAACTCCCCGCGAGTCGCTTCCCGCAACCGCTTCAAAACCCCTCGCATCTCCCCCAGCTCAGCCTGTAACCTAGCCCTGGCCTCGTTATTTGTTCGACGATCAAGTTCCAAGTATATCTGGCTCTGTATTTTTGACGCCTCCTCTGTCGCGTACTGTGAGAGTGTTTGTGCAATGAACTCCGTATCCAGGGTTGCTTGCATGAGAGCCGGGAGCGAATACTTAGGACGCTGTATGAAGGCGTTCAAAAGCGATGAGGAAATCTGTGTTAGGAGGTGGGAGAGTATTGCGTTTGTGAGGGACGATGCGGGTGTGCTTGGTGGACTTTGAGTTGGTGTTGGGAGAGTTGTGGTCACTTCTGTATGCACCAGGACGAGGTTTAACATTGTTGTATATACATAAGGGCGAACTTGATCGGGTCGACTCGTTAGGGGAACCCAATCCGGAGCTGCGATCCCATCGAGGATAGTCGAATTTAACGTTGCGGTCATCGGCCGGGTGTACGATTGGAATAGGCGGGCGTCAATTTGACCAAGGACATCGCGGATTGTTTTAGACTCCTCGGTTAATTTAACGGAGAATGCAGTTTCGAAATTGGACACCAATTGAGGGACGTAGTCAGCGCGGAGAGCTTTGAGGTTGGAGAGCGTGAGGAGCATGCGAACGTTCTGAGAAAAGAGCAGTGAGTAAGAAAATCAAATATGGCTGTTGTTTGGAGTACAAAGGACTCACCCTATTTTTGGAATCAATGCCGCCTGAAGGGGGGATCGATGACGAGATATCCAATCCACCAATGCGAACGACGGGACCGACAAGAATCCATTCATTTTCTCCTTCAGTCGTAACTAGATGCTCCGCATTTTCAACAAGCCCGCTTAATGCCTTATACACGCTCGTTACAAACTGGGACCGGACCATCTGAAGGAGTTTCGCAGGTGGGGGGGTGACAACATCGACGACCCCAGGTTTCGTCATGGCCTCAGATATATACAATATCTTTTGCATTCCGGAAAGAACTGCGCTTTCGAATGTTACGAAAAGTCCGGGCATCTTAGTCATGTCCTTACGTTCAAAGTCTCTAGTCCAATCCTCCAGATATTTCACGCTCTCGGCATCTTTATTCCAAGCTGCGCATATAGCACGGACCGATCGTTCTCGTGTGCCGCTGACAAGAAGCTTTAGTTTATCGTAGGTACTACTACTGCTTGATATTGGGCTCATTGCAGCTATCTGGCTAGCAGCTGTTCCGATTAAGATTAAGAATTGGCTGAGATAGTGGACACCACTAAGAGAGTTCGCATATGGAGGCCAGAAGGCGAAATCCTCCCATGCTTCTCCTCTTCTAGGCGAAGGTGGGGGAATGTCCTTAGGATCTATCCTGAAACGAGAGTCGGTGGGGGTTAAGCCAGTTAGGGGGGTGTTGGGAGTTGTCGGGAGAGGTGAAAGTAGCAGAGACACGTCCTCGATAGGCGGATCGGCAAATATCGATACAGCGTTTTCGCGGATGAGATTTACAAGTTCAACCACACCATCTTTCAGATCACTTACTCCTCCCGAAGACAGTCGATGGTGTTTTCGGCTTTCACCCTCGAATCCTGCTGGAAGGAGCTTTTGTTTACTGCCATCGATGAAAGATTGTGTAGTGTCCCAAAACTCGATGACCTCTCCAAGGATGCCGCCGTCAACTGATAGTAGCTTTTTCAGATATGTGTGCACACATTCCCATAGTTCGATAACGGGCTCAGTATCGAGGGTGTCTGTGCCATTTGTTACGCTATCACGGTTAGAGATGTGAATATACGGCGCAACGGCTTGTGGCGTCGGTTTCTCCCTGTTGGCTAGACGTCGCCGAAGAATTTCAATTTCGACTTTCGACCGCTCACAGAACGCAATAATCTTGGTTTTCAAATAATCATAACGTCCGAGGAGCCAGACCCAGACCGGGTTATCGTCAACGCCGAGTTCAAGTAGTGTTGCAATTAGTTCCATGTGCTCTTCGATGGGGCCATCGACGCTCATCGTAGGGATATTTGCCTGAACAGTGCTCAAACGTCGCCACAAGTCCCGCTTGAAAATTTGTATTTGCTTTTCAACGTCCATCCACATTCTTCCCGTAGCAAGGATTAGGTGAACTTGTTCGTCGGTTAAAGGGCGCTGCGTTGTTGCAGCCCGGTCAGCAATGAGCTTTGCATCTATCGCATATCTTCTGGCACGTGTATATTGGTCAACAACTGCTTCGCAATCGCGCTGTTTGATCGATCGCGCGAGATTATATCCGATATCATATATCTCTCGGTGTTTTGCCATAGCTTCAATAACGGCTTTCAAACCCTCTTCTCGCTGTCGACCCCCAAGTGCTGCGCCCCACACCTCTTCCGCTTTCCCGGAAGCTTCCACTAAAGGCACGCGTATGCCCTTAACACCATATTCACTTTCTTTTGTAAGGGAGTTTTTCTGTGGAACTGGGCGTTCAGAGCTTCCGGGAGCGGCTGTGGCTCCCGTGCTGTATCTTTTGATGTGAGAAAGTCTTCCTTGAGGCAGGGCATCTGGTTGCGTGCCTTGGTTTCGCATTTCCGTATATACGTTGTCGATGGTTGCCTTTGCTCGGACGAAGCGCTCAAAATTCGATTCAACTAAAACCTTCAAAGATGCAGATTTCTTGTCGATAGATTTAGATAAAAAATCTAGACCTTCAAGAAGGGATTGGATAGAATCGGAGGCGTGAGTCTGGGAAAGGAAGAGCGCAGGCGAGAAGGTTGTTGACGATAGCAGGTAACGGTTTCGAACGCGAGCGTCATCGTCGGCGATGCCGCGTTGTTTCAACATCCTAACTACACTCTCGGAAGATCCCAAAGGGTCTGGTTCGTCCTTTTGGACCAAGTTATCCCTTCCATCTCCAGTCCGCTGAGATCCCGGCACTATGCTCCTGCGTTCGCTTCCACCTATTTGGAGGGCAGCATATCTCGATTTTCGCCGTTGGGAGGCAGAGGTGCCGGGGCCAGAGGACAGAGGCTCTTCACCATCCGAATCGTCACTTTCATTCAGCTCTGCTGGCCATTCTTCGGGGTAAAGTGACGGGATATTATAATAATGGGTAACGTCCGTGTCGTAGGAAGCCATAATAGGGTGTTGGGCAGCACAGCGAAACCGCCCCAGTAAAAATCAGAAGCAAGAGAAGGCGCGAAAGCAACTCCGTAAATAATGACACTTTTTAACCAGCCATAAAGTTTTCGCTAATCAATCAGTGCGCTCGACACATCTCTAAATCCCCGTCATCGCTGGCGCAATTGCTATGGATATCATGGTGTTGTTGTCTTGGACAAATGTGGTGAAGCTGAGCAAACAGAGCAAACACCCGCGCCGGCTTATCTAAGCTGGAAAAAATATCTCTGGGTGGGGCCGTGGTGAGTGCGCTGGGATACCATAACAAAGACCAACTCTTCCCTTCACTCTTCTCTCCAACAATTACAACTCATTTTTACCTCAAACAGCCTCAATTGCTTTTTGTGACTGAAAATTTTCTTTTTCGCCAGCCTCCATATACATCCCAGCCGCCACAATGATTTCCCTGCGCGCGTTTGCTCCCGCGCGGCAGTGCCTACGAACGCCAGTCGGCCAATTGGCCCGCAAATCTCCGCTCAATGTGGGTGAATTATCTCTCCAGCCGCAAGTCCGCACCCTACGGCACCACGACTTGGGATAAGTAGGCTTACTTCTGCATATAATATAGGTTCGATGCTATGCTGTGGCTGTTGCGGAAAAAGTAGCAAAATTTCCAGGAACCAAAGGCCCTGACGTATGCTATGCCTTCTTCCCTCAGCTGAAACAACCATTGCGTTTGTAAATTGGAAGCTGAGAACAACTCTCTTCTGTTTAGGGCAAATACACAGTCACATTGATCGAGGGTGATGGTATCGGGCCAGAGATCTCACAATCCGTCAAAGATATTTTCGCCGCTGCACAGGTAAAGCAAAATGCGCCAGCTTCGTTCCTTGACAATTGGTTTATCTTGGTTCTAGTGCGAGACTTGCTGAATCAACTAGGTACCGATAAAATGGGAACCGGTCGACGTTACGCCGATTCTCAAGGATGGGAAGACTGCTATTCCAGATGAGGCTATCAACAGCGTGAAGAAAAATTTCGTCGCCCTAAAGGGACCACTTGCTGTAAGTTCCGTTTTGCTAAAATGCCATTATTGAGAGCAAGGACAGTGGTTAAAAGGATAGACAGACACCCGTCGGAAAAGGCCATGTTTCCCTCAACCTTACTCTTCGCCGTACATTCAATCTTTTTGCAAACGTCCGACCTGGCCGGTCGATTGCTGGTTACAAAACCCCATACGATAACGTCGAAACTATCCTCATCCGCGAGAACACCGAGGGCGAATACTCTGGAATTGAACATGTTGTGGTGGATGGCGTTGTGCAGAGCATTAAGCTCATTACTCGGGAAGCCTCCGAACGTGTTCTCCGCTTTGCCTTCCAATATGCCCAGGAGGTAGGCAGGAAGAAGGTCCGCGTCGTGCATAAGGCCACCATCATGAAAATGTCCGACGGTCTCTTCCTGCGTACTGCGAGAGATGTTGCCAAGGATTTCCCCGATATTGAGTTCGACGCCGAACTCCTTGACAATACTTGCTTGAAAATTGTTACCGATCCCGTCCCTTACAACGACAAAGTCCTGGTCATGCCCAACCTTTACGGCGATATCCTATCTGACATGTGTGCTGGTTTGATCGGCGGCCTGGGTCTCACCCCGTCCGGTAACATTGGAGACGAATGCTCTATCTTCGAAGCTGTCCACGGATCCGCCCCTGACATTGCTGGTCAACAGAAGGCGAACCCAACAGCCTTGCTCTTGAGCAGCATCATGATGTTGCAGCATATGGGACTGAATCAGCATGCCGATAAGATCCAAAACGCTATCTTCGCCACTCTCGCGGAAGGAAAGGTAAAGAAACATCCATTGAACCCTACGTACTCATCAGTGCTCAGCTAACGACATTCTTAGTCCCTCACTGGTGATCTTGGTGGCAATGCCAAAACCAACGAATACGCAAGCGCCATCATCTCTAAACTGTAATAGTAATATATTATCTCCCTACACTCTCTCATCAACGATTTCCCCGAATGTTTTACGCAACCAATCATTTGCAGTTCTCCATTAGATAGAGATGGTCGTGATGTACATATCCTGAGCTCAGTGAGCTGATATTTTCTTTGTTTTCTTGTTTATCATTGCGAGAGTTAGCACAGTTTACTCCTTTCCTTAATTGCTACGCGTTATTTGTATACAAAAAAGTGGCTCGATGTAATACTACGTAGATGGCTTCCGGCGGTTCCCTGTTGAGGTTGATCTTCCTTTTGCATTTGGATATATAAACTTAAATGTGGAAGATATTGGACTCTAGCTGTGGTATACTTACATACAAACTCGTATAATGTTCACCTGTTGGTGATAACCGTGCAAACTTCCAAAAAACAAAACTAGCCCGCGTGTCCGGGTTTTCGCTAACCAGTCATTGAAAGAGATGCGAAGATACATCACGTCCCATAATTTAAAAACGCCCGACTCGAGTTAACCCCCATTAAGGATCGAAAAAGTGAAGAAGGGACAACAAGAGAAGGAAAAAAAAAAAAAAAATCTTACTACCGTCGCCTGCCGCGTTTAGGCGCACCTCTGGCCGGCTTTTTCGTCTTTCCGCGCGTCGCTTGAGTCCGAGTTGGCCTCGCCCGAGCTGAATCCGTGGCTTGAGTGTCGGTGTCTTCCCCTTCACCTGTCTCCGTCCCCTCTTCATCTCCTTCCTCTCCTTCGCCATCTTCTGCTGTGTCTTCTTCTTTGGCGGGACTGGCCTTGCTATGGTGTCGCCCTTTTCCATTCTCAGTTTCACCATGTAGCCGTGACGATCGTGTGCCTCGAGTGTTCGCACGTGTGCTACGGTTAGCCCGCCGGCCACGGGAAGGTGCGGGCGAAGAGCTGGGCTCTAACAGTTTATTTTCTTTAGTTTCTCTCCACCATTCAACATGTATTATCCGATAAAGCGGTCGGGATTACCCACCATCTGTGTCTGCAATTGTACTAGCCCTTACTGACCCTCCAGCAAGGCTCATAGGGGGAGACGATGACCCTCCTGGAGCAAGCCTCCTTTGAAACATCATTCCACCGTATTCATCGAACGGTAGCTGGAATGGACAGTAAGTCTCCTGTGCTGGTTCTGAATCGCCGGATCCATCTGTAGCAAACGAGGCTTCCTGAGTAGAGAATTGTGTTAGCCACTTCGTTGATCCATATCGTCCAACAACAAGGAGGATGTATGATTCGGTCACCAACTCGCTCATCGAGCCCCGCGAGATTGTATAGAGTTCCTAGCTTTTTCCAAATCCCAGGTATTCGAGTATGTTGATCGTTTGGTGTTACGTAGCCCTGGCTTATCAAATGTTCCGAGATAGCCAGCATGCGAAAGTGTTTGTGCATCCCTAACGATGTTAAATTGGTTACTTAAATTGCGCCCTGTGTCTGCATCGTGCCATAGCCGTCCACATACCGACAGGTTTCCATCGTATGATACCTTTAAGCAAGGATGTTTCTTGCTCCTCAGTCCATGGGTCTGTAACTATAGAATCGCTTTCGGTTTCAAGCTTCGACGCAGCGTCTGGTTGCGTGGGAGTGCTAGATGCATGCTGGAGAACCTCCGATTGTGGAGTCGAATCTCCCTGTGAGGAGAGCCGCAATTTCTTTCTGGGTGGCATTGTAAGGGATATACGCTGTATGGCTTGTAGGAGAATGTTAGTTATTATGGAGGTAGGGGAATGAGAGATGGATATGAGAGCCACAAACCGTGCCGGGAAGTGTTATTCGCCGAAACTACCCAGCTTGAACGGGGAAAGGTTGAAATAACGCCGGCAAATAAGCAGTGGTCCGTGCACGTGGCTATTGCACGCTAGTCCTATACTATACTAGTGTGTTATGATCAGTCGCGTTTTCCAAGGTTATCTCCCCAGACGCGTCAGAACGATTTCGGCTCGCGAAATAGCATATTGAACGGGACTTGTATGTTAGCAATGGACCTCCGAAGAGATGTGGATGACCCGTTTGCGCTTGCCGTTGACAAGCTCTGGGAACCTTCCTATTTTCATCTCCACGAGCTGCAACCGCTAGACTCTCTGCCTTGGGATGATGACCTTCCAGGTACAGCTGTCATGCTTTCGAATTATTTCTATGTTCGCAGCAACTAACTTCTGTCTCTAGAACTTGCCCAGGGCGTTTTTCAGGGTCCCTTAGACCTCTTTACGAAACGCGATTCCAACATATATGAATTGAATCTATTTGGTACAGACGCGCTCGAATCGACTGACCCAGATACCCCTTTATCCCTCAGTACGAGTCAAACTGATGTGGACCCCAATGAAACAAAGGATGAAACGGATGAAACGGATGAAATAACGGACATATGGGCATCGGATGCAAATTTAAACCTAATTACTATAGGGAGATCATTGAGGTCGTGGGATACATTTCCACACCATCCCGTTCACTGGGCCAGCCCTCTTTACCTAAGTGAAGCTGGTCCACGCGGATTTGATGCTGCATTAGGTTATCAGGCAACGAAATCGGGTCTTGAGGATTCGGGCCGAGTAGCGCTAACAGATATTTTCGTTGCGTCGCTATTTCGACTAGGCCTCGGGTGGAATTCAATTTTTTTCCGATTCAACGAACAGAACCGAGTGTTCGAAAAGCATATCAAGGATGCCCGCATATCCGGAATCAGCCTGACTGCAGTGGATGGCTTGATTGAGGAATTTTTACAATGTGGAACACAGGTGCGAAAGGTAAGAAGATTCATTCTTGCAACGCCTACTCAAACGGATCTGCCGACCCCGTTATCTAGCCTGGCTTGCGCTGCGTCGGTCCTACTACATAGTTTTGAGGAGCATGTCTACGAGCGTTTCAAGACGGATTTGCCGTTGCTGAAAACTCAGATGTTGTTCAGACGCCCTGCCTGTCTCCTCAAGGTCCTCGTCGACATAATAGAAAATGCAGAAAATGCGACAACGGATGGTGCTGTTATATCCTCAGTCTTTACAAAATGCGATTATTATTCCCATGAATTTGTCTGGCTATCTAGCGTGCTTCGTGAACTGATGGCCATGGTGGCTGAATCGTGGCTTTCCTCGGTTGAGTCCTGGATCGGACTTAGGCCTGAACCTCAAACCTTGCTAGAAGTCAATCGAAATAGGAAGGGTTTCATAAATACCGACGAAGTTCACGGTCAAAATTGCGGAAGGATCGAAGCTAGGCTGGTTGACTACAGTTTTCGTCCAGAAGCTATGCCTATCTTCGTTCCCGCAGGCTATGCGGAAACGATATTCGAAAGCGGCAAAAGTTTAAGGCTACTCAAAGAATTCCATCCTAATCATCCACTTTCTATAAAAAGTGGTACGAGTCGGTCAATGAATTTAGCCCTGGAGTGTGCTTTTACCTGGAAGGATATTGACAAAATCCAACAAAAAGCCAACAATTATGAGGCGCAACTTCGAGCTGAGATACTTCGCTACGACGAAGTACGACTCCAAAAATGTAGTACGTTAACATCTGAGGACAAGAACGCTGATACCCCAGTTCATGAAGACCATGACCCAATCGACGGCGTTTTTTCACTTTTCGACCTTGACGGCAAGAATGATGATATCAAATTATTAGCAAGTCATTCTTCAATCTCTTCCGATAGACTACACGTCCTCCTCACCGAGAGCAACTGTTTCAACACGGACGAGGTTCCGGGAAACAGGTCTCTTTTCGGCCCACCTTTGGATGCGTCTGTTTACCTCTCATTTGCCCCGGTTATTTCGGCCCAAACAAGATTAATTAACTTCTCCTGCCTCCACCTTCTTTTCAAAGGCCATAAAATCAAAGAGCACCTGCAGTTACAATGGCGGTTTCAATTATTAGGCGATGGTATCTTTTCATCACGTTTGTCTCATGTTCTATTTGACCCTGAAATGCACAGCGGAGAACGGAAAGCTGGTGTTGCCCGTGGGGGAAGTTCTACTGGCCTTCGTCTGGGCAATCGTGATACCTGGCCACCAGCAAGCTCTGAGCTTCGCCTGGTGCTAATGGGGTTGCTCTCTGAGAGTTATCACGGAGACAAAAATTACATTGGGCAAAACACCGGAAATCAAGTCAGGAATAAAGAGCTGCCTGGCGGCCTCAGCTTTGCAATCCGTGAGCTAACAGGCGAAGAACTTGTAAAATGTAAAAATCCCAACTCCATTGAGGCTCTAGATTTCCTCCGTCTTCAATACCACCCGCCTTCAGTCCTTGAAGCCATAATCACTCCCAGAAGTTTACGCAGATACGATACCATCTTCAAGCGACTTCTGAGGCAGATACGAATGCTTTCAGTCGCACGTGGCCTTATCCGTGACTCCACAGATCGATCGAATACCGCAGACATGAGCCGAACAATCACCCAGAAATTCCGCATCGAAGCGCACCATTTCGTGCAAACCGTGAGCGACTATTCCTTCCACATTGCAGTTGGAGAGACATGGAGCAAGTTCGAGAGAATCCTTGTCAAAATCGAGAAGTGCATTGATAAGGGAGATATCGATGGTACCATTGACAATGCCAAAAGCCTACACCGTCTCCGAGAGTATCATGAAGATGTCCTAGATCAGATCCTATTCGCTTTATTCGTGAGCAAGAAACACGTACAGGCTAGAAAGTTAATAGACGACATCTTCGGCACTATTCTCACCTTCTCCTCTATATCTAAAGCGGCCTCCACAGGCACGTGGGTGCAGCAGGATGGGAAGCCCTCTTATGATCGGATTGTTCGTCAGCTTTTCTCCGTGTTTAGGAAACAGGTTTCAGGTTTTGTAAGGTTTTTAAGGGCACTGGATGGTGCCAAGGCGATGAGGTCGAAAGGGAAACCTCAGGATCTTGCCGCGTGGGGGATCGATGATCGCGCAGGTGTTGACACAGATAGTATCTTTGAACACCTCCTTTTACGACTGGATATGAATGGATTTTATTAGTCCATATACTGTATGTGAAATATGAATTGATGATATCCCCCGTACTCCTGAGCATCAAATCTAGATAATTTTAGAAAACAGTTAAGTTATCCAATAATGTTTTATTCTGCCTTCTTCTCAACCCTAGCCTACACGTGTCATCAATCGAAGCAAGGGGAGCAATATGTACTGTACATACATACATGCACGAGAAGTCCCTCGCAAGCTCATGAATATAGAGCATGTACATGTACAAAGAGGTAACCAGCCAGAATCCTACACACTTTTGTGTGACGTACGTATTGGGCTTTTCGGTAACCTCAATTCCCAACCATTTGAAACCGGTTTCGTAGACCCCTGGCCTTGCATCTTCCACGTCTTCCACGTGTCTAAGCAACTCGATTCTAGCTTTGCGGGAATCGATCATGGAGATAAATTTGCACCAAGGCCACAAAGCGTGGCAATATCCCCCATGAAGAACCGCATCATCCACTGATCACCTGCAGGCCAAATCGGTCCCTGCATGTCTCCACAGGATTCTTCCAGTTAGAACCAACTGTCGTTGTAAATGCACACTAGGTGGAAATCTCTCAATAGCCAAACCCAAATAAACATTGTCTCTACAGATTTGTGGGGTATAGTCCTATTATTCACCGTTTTTTGGACCACTGTCTTCATACTACCCCAGGCCATTCAAGAAATCCCAGTCGAAACGGCTGAATTTCGAAAAAAGAACGTCAGCCTGGGATATCGTATATCTCATTATCTCATCCGCTATATTATTCTAACAGAAGAATTTTGTCGTCTCTAGGACTCTTCAACCATCCTCTTAACCCTATCCAGTAATACGGTGCTCTCTCGTCCAAGTCTTCGTTTCCCAAACTGATCTGGTCTTCTTGCCCTAGCCATAGCCTCTCGATCGCGTTGCTTGGCTTCTCTAATCCTTTGTTTCTTCTCAATTTCCTCCTGTCTCCTTCTTGCTATTTCTACCTCTTTGGTAAACGGCGACGGCTTTGGTGGACGCTTGCGCCGATTCCGCGAGTCTCTTGGCAGACGATCCGTTCTTGACGTAGGCGGTTGTTCTGCCTGGGGAGCATCAAGCATAGCTTGTCTATCTGGATGCAACTCTAAACTCGCTGCCTCTGGCTTTGTCGCATCTCCATCATTTTCCAGTGTTGATTCTTGGGTAAAACTAGGTTTTGCAGTTCCCTTTGCGAGTTCCTCTGCTTTAACTTTGGCGTAGGATTTCTTGACCTTGGCTTTATGGATTAGATCGCCTTTGATTTTTTGCACTATACACAGCAAAAGAAGTAGAACGTGATTAGTTGTGAGCATTTAGATCAAGCGCAGGGTAACAGCAGAAGATTCGGCGCGTACCCTTTCGTCGATAGGTGCCGTCAGGAAGGTTTGCTGGGCCAACTGAAAACCCCTTCTTCTTCTTAGCCACATTAGCATCGGCGCTGGCACCATCCTCCCGAGGTCTCTTAGCAGCCATGTTAACTTTTGTAAAGTTCAATTGCGGCCTGACAGATGTGCAACAGAGAATACCTGGCGTACTGGTGGATGAAACTGTTAAGTCCAGGAACTGTGCAAGAGTAAAGTTTTAATGTCCATAGACAACTATCGTACCATAGGCCATACTCATAGACAATCGTAGTTGCGACCAAGAAGGTAAACAAAGAATTTTCCCAAAACACCAACAGTCATTAAGTTAGCTAATATTTGAGAAAAATAAATTTTTGAAGATGATCTGGATGTCTCCACGTGACCCGGCTCGGCATTGCAAGGTTCCGTGGGGCAGTTCGGTAATAACCTCAGATGAACCAGCGATGATGTATGTATGTAATCAGCCGGTATCGACCATCGGACCGACCGATGATTCATTCCTTACGCTGCCCCGTCTTACCGTCATGGGGCTCGATGTCGCCAACAACAACCTCATGTCGCTCTTATCCAAGCAAGTCTTGCTCCTCAGCCCGCCTGCGTCCGCCTCGTAACAGCGCTGGCTCGAACCTGTTACACCCTACAATCCCAGTGCTCGTTGTATCCAAAATCCAAGTGCCCGCCACTACGACCGTGCGCCACTTCAATCCTCCCGCTTTCATTTCGTCACTGGCTGTGGGGCGTCTGCCACGTCTATCTCCCTGATGTCGACTTGTTTTCACGAACTGGTTGACATATTTCATGAATAAAATATGCCAATCTTCAAAGACCAAGAGCGACGAGAGCTTCTCTACCATCACGCATGGCCTGCTAGCTGTCCTGACGACGATGACGACATAAAGCCTACCAAGACTCCGAAGCAAGGAGTTGAGAGTTTGGAGGAGGAAGTTATTGCTGGTACTTCCTCGTGGAGGTCAAATATGGAAGCACATAGCAGCCCTCAAAGGTTGCAAACGAGTGATCGTGAGGAGTTGATTCGAAGTATCAAGAAGGGGGAAAGCCCTACATGGGTTCCTAATCGTTCTGTAAGTCAAACTTTAACCTTGATATATACGATACTAAACCCATTCATCGATGTTCGAGCTTGCGGTGGGGTAATACTTCGAGACTTTCGAAGGCCATGCGATTTACTCCAGCGCCCATGTTAATATGTCTAGATCTAGCTCTTCTTCCATTAGAGGAATACTGTAGCTAATTTCTGGGTCCCTAATAGCTGGAAGAGTATTTTGCAACTCATGGAGATCCTCCACACTCAAGACTTGAAGGCCAGCTGAACAAGGACAAATCCCATCCTCTCCTACCGGCCACAAACCTAGAAGAGTCATTTGACAACGGTTCCAAGTGTGAAATATTGACTTGTTGTCCCTCTGAAATCGAGAGGCCCCGATCAGCCCTGCATTCAGGTGACTTTCGCGAGGGATCACCCCAAGATCAGGAGCCACGTAGTCATGAGCCTTTCGAACCGGGCCCCAGCCGTCTTCCTTTTGGCTCTTCTCCAACCACTCCATGGTATACACCTCCAAGTCCGCCAGCACCTACAACGCAAGAAATCGGCTCGATTTTGGTCAGAAGCCGGGCAAGGGCTCCATCCTTGAATTCATTTTCATCCTTAAGCTCGTTTTCGTCAAGTTTTATTCTTAAGGCTCCAACAAGCCCGCTAGTCCACCAGGCCAATAACACCGACCTTGACTTCTCACCAAAGACTATAGACCCTCTCGACCTACAATCTAGCCCTGAGAAGGCTAATCGTCGTCGCACCTTACCAGCGGAAACCTTTACATCTTTCCAATATTCGCCTCCTGGATGCCGTCGTGGAGCCAATGTGCCCACTACTTCCCAACCATGGAGAAGAGAGGCAACCTTCCCTTACCAAGCCCATCAGCCCCGAAGGTCATTAACCTCAGCTTGCACTCTTCAACCGGCGTCATCTCCGCAGACGCCTTTCATGGGACGTTCGAGAAGACCGTCCTTTGCCACCGATATCTCCTCTCCGCTTCATCACGCATCCATGGTTGGGTCTTACGAGGAATCTATTTTGCGGGGCAGAATGTCAACAACTCCCTCCAAACCTCTGGATTTTACTGCGCAAATTGGCGTGCTTGGGAGAGGGAACTGTAAACCTAGCCTGAAGTGTCCACCTCACGTTACTGTGCCATTTCCTGCCGTTTTTTATAGCTACCCAACGTCCGGCGGTGGACGATCAATCTCGGATGACAGCCCCAGCCCTTACGTTGGTTTCATCGATATTGAAAATAGCTTTCCAAAGGAAGACAAATCAAACCAACGAACCCGCCGACGCTATGTCAGTCCACCAAAACTGGTGGACAAACATCTCGAAGTGGACACTACTCTGTCAGAGGTGAATACAAATGTTCCAACGCAACAGGAATGGCGTAGGAGGGAGAAACGATCCCGGCGGTCACCATCTCCAAAAGCACCACCTGGAGGATGTTACAGGATACCTCAACAAGGCCAACTACAGATCATCATAAAAAATCCCAACAAAACCGCAGTGAAACTTTTCCTTGTTCCTTACGATTTAGAGGGGATGGAGCCGGGAACTAAAACCTTTATCCGACAGCGAAGTTATTCGGCTGGACCGATTATCGACATGCCCCTGTCAGCAAGGACAAATTCAGAAGCTTATTTGGGCATGGGGGATTCAGCTGACAAACCGGTACTTAGATATCTGATACATCTAAATATCTGCTGCCCTTCCCGTGGCCGCTTTTATCTTTACTCAGGAATCCGAGTCGTTTTTGCAAACAGAGTCCCGGACGGCAAAGAGAAACTGCGAAATGAAGTTCAATATCCTGATCCTCAGTATAGCCCTTATAAACCCGCCAAGGAAATTAATAAGTTAACCGCGGAAAATGCCATTAGGCACAGAAGTTCTGGTTATAGACCTAATTTACTGCCCATGGCTCCGATGAGGATGAGCTTCGATAATTACGAAACTAGCCTTTTTGCTCGGGCACCTCCGGTAGCTCCATTGGAGACATTCAATTTCAATCTTCCCGTTCATATGTCGGGCAAGGCTAGTCCATATGCCCCAGATTATCAGGACACTGAGATGGAACAACATGATCTACTTCACCATCAGAACCGGTATGGAGGTTTACAGGGCCAAGCTAGCCCTAACAAAGGTGATCTGACCCCTCTACTGCTGACCCCAAGAATTCCCTCGCCTCCTCCACCCGACCTAGGAAGTTCGACTACAGGCACAGACAACATGTACAGCAAACGCCAAAGGGGTGACGTGGGATATGGAAGCCCATTCAGGATGACACCCATGGGACACGAGACGGGAGCAAGCCTATTGGCGCGAAAACTGAGACGGCTAGATGTCGTGTTAGGTCCGGACTTGCCGGATGAAAAATAACATTTACATGATATATAGATGTGCGAACGATCTATTCGAAAAATGGCCTTGATCAGCTTCAATGGCGCGCCGGCGCTCATCCACATGGTCATTCGACTGGAATGGTTTTCCTTTTTTGGTTCTGAGGCTCAATCCACTCTTTCTCTAACGTTTCTTTTATTCTCCTTTCGCGTCGTTTATAGACAAACTGGTGAGGGAATCACAACGGCGTTGGATCGGATGGTTAACCCAACACAAACTAAAAGAACCTAGGAACGAGACTGAAAGTGTTATATATCCGCGATCAAATTACTCCCAGTACTTTTTTTTTTTTTTTTTTTTTTTTTTTTTGGTTCCTTTTGGTCTAGCCTGGCTTTAAATATGCTTCATTTCCCTTTCCCATTCCAGTTATGCCTCAACTATGGTTTGCAATGGCTTCAATAATTTGTATATGTGCAATATAAGTGTATCCATTTTGCGAAAACTCCGCTTCTTCACTAGCTCATTTAACGCTCTTTTATTTCCTCTCTTTGTTCTTTCCACCTCCTACCCAACCAAAAGCCCCAGGAGGTGGTTGTATGGAAATGTCTTGGAAAAGGAAAAAAAAGTTGTGAAGGGATGGAAGCGAGAGGCAGAGAATACTTGTAAGGAAAAGAACGAGTTTGTGGATAATATAGAACGCTGTGTGTGTAAACAAAGCCATGTCAAAAGTCAGAATATTAAACCTATCCGAAGACTTCACCAATAACCTTAACTTATTGACGTATGACCCGCCTCTATATCCTCTATATTTTGTTGGAAAATTATCTAATTTACTCACTTGACTGTTATATTGATCTTTAGATGGAATTTAAGCTTCTTCTTTGCTTCAGTTTTTTTATATTCTTAGAGTGAAGATAAATTCCTTTGAATTAGAAGCATGTTTTTCTTTGCAATTTGAGCATTTAAGCAGAGTATGTTTGCATATTTCATCTCATTTTTAACATATTTTACATTTATATTTACTAGTTGTGCAATCATTTGCACAGAATTCATATTTTGAGTTTCAGAAACATGAGACTATAAAATATTCATATCTCTGACAGTTGAAACACTGTGTTTAACTTTTGAGATTTATTTTTGAGTTTTTATATTCATTAACTCTCACTTTTAAATCTGCTACTATTACTTCAGAAATCTTTAACTGTTTAAGTGTTTTTATATATATAAAAAGTAATGTATTTCTTCTATTATATCTGAATTTAATTGAATTCAGTTATACAGACTTTTTTCTGAGTTAAGTAGAATTGTATTCTTTTATCTGATTTATACAAAGTAGCATTTCTGTGGCGGGCTGCGCCCGATCATAAGACTATTCCATTACACTCCATAGATTCCTGCCGTAAGCTCCGACCCTCCTGCCGAAAGCTCCGATTCTCGGTCGCCGATCCTCGGCTGAAGAACCCACGGAGTTCCTATTCTCCCGCCCTGAAGCTCCACCTCATACACATATAAATATTCACTTCAATCACTGATTCTCACACTTTCTCTGTTGTTTTCCTTCTCTAACATTTTTTACTTTTGTTATATAAGACCTATATCTTAATGCTGATCTATTCAGTGTAGGCCTCTTATACTTGAAAAACATTCATTATCTTTTTATTAGAGATGATTATTTATTAAGAAAATATCTGAACATATAATAATATGTAAGAAATAAGAAAATGAATAATTACAGACTAGTTAAGCAGACACTAAGTCTCTGCTAGATAGATAGAAGCTTGTCTATCAGTCACTCTGACTCTGTAACAAGATCTTATAAAGAGAATATCAGTGAAAGATCTGAGAGTTCTAACATCTTAGATATATAAAATATTTATACAATTACACTTCTTTCAATTCTGAAGAACTCTTTAACACAGATATCACATATCTGATAAATAATATAGCAATGTCTACTGATAATATAAGAGAACTCTTGAATGCAAGCATAGATACAGTGTTACAGTAACTCTATACAATGTTGAAATTACAATAATAATAGATAGCTGATATGTATATAAATTAATAATATTAATATAAGAAAATTCATATAAGAGGCCTACGCTGAATAGATCAGTATTATATTAATAGGTCTTATATAACAAAGAGAAAAATGTTAGAGAAGGAAAAGAAAGAGAAAGTGTGAGAATCAGTGATTAAAGTGAATATTTATATGCATATGTAATAATATATGCAGTGAAGCTTCAGAGTGAAAGAATCTATACATGTTAGTAGTGACTGAGAATCAGTGATTAAGAATAACTGAGAATTGAAGTGTACACATTTATAACAGCTGAGAATTGATGATTGAGAATGACTGAGAATTGAGATGTATACATTTGAGAATGAAGTAATTGAAATCTGTGAAGTGTAACAGAATAGTCTATATAATTAATCAGACACAGTTCATCATATTAGTTTCTCTCTTTCAGAAGCAGTTCTCATTGATCAAGAGCTGCTGTTTCAGATAACATAAAACTCAGAGTTCAGGTCAGTTAATCATAGCTGACTTATTTCATAAGATATTATCAGCTGCAGCTGTAGAATCTCTTATCAAGAATATCTTCAATCTCTTACTCAAGTTCATTATCTTCTTCTATAATCTCTGATAACTGTTAATCAGAAGTCAGTTAAGAAGAGAATGAATCAGTGATAGTATAGCAGAGTAAGCTTGTATAAAAGATATCATGAATCTCTGATAATATGTTAAGACAGTAGTTATAACTCTCTAGAACTTCTATTACTTTATATCTGACATGGCAGTAATCTAGCATATGAGATGAATGTATGATTTGTATATTCTTAAGATTCAATTATATAAGATCTTCTATCTTATACTGCTCTGCAGAATCTCATCAGATGTTAATTTAATCTTCTTAATCTTGTTTTACAGTCACTATAAAGATCTCTGCTCAGTCACAGACATCTCAGAGCTTCATTACTATATTATCAGTGATTTGAATCAGACTGCAGAGATTCAGTGTGAACTGTGTAATCTCTAGAAGATTCAACACTTTCATGTGATATTCATATGTAAGAAAGAACAGACTTATATCTGTTAAAATAGCATCTTAATCATTGATAGTGATCTCTGTGTATAGAAGAAGATCATGTCAATCATCTTATAAATGATTGTAGAACTTATAAAGATAATTCTTCACAGTCTGAATTGTCTGTTCTGATATATCATCAGTCTCAGAGTGATAGACAGTTGACAGACAGTATATAATCTTAAGAACTTGACAGATTCTTGTTCAGAGAGTACTCATGAATTGACAGTCTTAATCTGATACTATAGTTCTCAGTAATTCATGCATCTAATAGAACAGACTCTATAGAAAAGCTTCAGCAACTTATTCAGTATTCATTTTATTACAAGATTTCAATATTACATCTTTACTCAATCAATTCATGATAATCAGAATATTTCTATAATTCTTACTCTCAGATAGATTAACAGTGAAGTCAATTACTACATCTTATCAGATTCTATTAGAAATATTAAGTGATTTCAGTAGATCTTTTCTACAGTTCTTTTATAAGATAATAGAAGAATAGTAGTTACAGTTTCAGATAAAGTATCTGATACTGTTTAATATCTCAGATTAATAAAACTCTCAGAAGATTATTCTATATAGTTATTCACAGTCTGAATAATCAGTTATATATAAATTATGCATCTCTTGCATTATTCAGATGTATAAGAATTCAGAGTGAGAGACTCAGCATTATTTACAGAATTATAGAGTGTTATTATCATTGATTAAATATTCTGAGATGTCAATTCTTACATGTAATTCTGGAAAAAATCAGAGTACTTTTTATCATACTGCTTCAGTGAGTGCTTGAAGAAGTTCATCAGTTTAAGCTACTGTATGTTATAGCTCATCTAATGTAGATTTGAGAGAAGTTGAGATATCAGTAGCAGTTCTAATTAAAGAAGCATGTATAGTGTTATGAGCTGTTTTATCTTGATTAACTAGTATCTTCAGATTCAAGAGTCAGTGCTCTCAGTTCATTCAATGAGTATCTGTTATATCAGATAGCATATCTTACTCTTATTAAGAGAGAGCATCTATCATCAAGTTCTGACTGTGAGAACAGTAGTGTATTATAAAATAAAAGCAGCTTAAGAACTCAGATTATCATATCTATTATTCAGTGAGTGTATAAATAGTTATAAAGTATTTGAGATTCTTATAATCTGTGACTATCTCAAATTCAGAGATACTTCAGAGTTCAGAGTCTCATTCTTCTAAATAGTGTACAATTATAAGAAGTTTCTTATTATAGATCTTATAATTACATTCAGTAGAACTCAGTTTCTTAGATATAAAGATATATAATTATAGAACATCTTTATTATTATATTATAATATCACTTCTTCTATTATATAGTCAGAGAAATCAGCTTCAATAACTGTCTCATAATTAGAATTGAATATTATTAGTAGAGAGATATTAATAAATATCTTCTTTATCTGTGTAAATACAGCTTCAGTATCTACTGATTATTGAAATACTGAGTCTTTCTTAGTAAGTTCTGTAAGTGATCTCATAATATCTGAGAAGTTTTATATAAATCACTGATAGAAGTTAGTAAATCTGATAAAGCTTTATATATCTTTCACAGTGTATGAGATCTCTTATTCAAGAATAGCAGAGATCTTCTCAGAATTTATTCAGATTTTCTTGTCAGCTTCTATGATGAAATCTAAGTATTTAGTACTCTTGACTTCAAAATCACACTTATCAATATCAATTGATAGTTCTACTTCTCATAGTCATTGTAATACTCTTTGTATATACTCTTGATATTTCTTTCTGAATTCATCAGTGAAGATCAGAATGTCATCTAGATAAGTAGATATAAATTCATCAAGAAAGTCTTGAAGTGCTCAGTTAATATACTTCTGAAATGTACTGAGAGCATTGATCAGTTCAAAGAGTGTGACTACTCATTTAAAGAGATTATATCATGTTCAGAATACTGTAAGTCACTCATCTTCTTCAGTAATGCAGATCTTATAAAATATGATAATGATATCTAACTTTGTAAATTATTAAGCTTATTCAATACAAGCTAGAGTTTTATTAATAAGAGATAAAGAATAACAGTCTTTCTTTATTAATCTGTTCAATTCTCAATAATTCATGCAGAATCAGAGTTCTTCATCTGATTTCTTTGTAAAGAGAATAGAGACTGTAGTGAAAGAGTTGCTAATATATATAAATTCTTTATTCAACAGATCATTGAGTGTCTTTTGAAGAAGAAGAAGTTCATCTCAGAACATGTTATAAAGAGAGTCTTATGACAGTTCAGAGTTCTTATCAGTGGG